TATATTGATTTTTTTAAGCATGTGTGTTGGTAGATTATTTTCATTATGGTTCTTACTCAGGATAATAAAGTCAGCACTCTTAATTTGTTATATAAATCTTTGTTCTATAAAAGGAACATTAGCTCCAGTCAGGCTGCAAACAGTGGGGTTGGCACATGTTTTCTGGAAAGGCCCACGTAGTAAATATTTTCAGTCCTGCCGGCCGCCACATCATCTCCATGGTAACAGTTCCGCCTTGTCCTATAGCCCACAGCAGTGGTGACAGGTAAGCCGAGGGCGTGGCCGGGTGCCAACAGAGAAAAATCTGGATTTCGTATCATTTACATGGAGTCTGCTTCTTTTTTGTTCCGACCATTGATGACTATTATAAAGACCGTTCTCAGCTGCTGGCTGTACCCTCACTGCAGCTCGGGGGCCATGTTTGTGACCCCGTCTCGGGCAGACAGAGCCTTTTGTTGTCTTTGGCACAGGTTTTCCTAGAGGCTGAGAACAGCCCTCCTCCGTGGCCCAATCGTGGCATAGAGTCTGACCTCCTTGAATGGAGGGGTCCCTACAAATAAAAACAATGTTTAAAAGTAATGTTTTTTTGAGAAAGGAATTCTGCAGGGAACGGGGATGTGTGTCTGCCTGTGTCCCACTCCCTGGAGAGTTTCCACCTGATTTGGGAGAACCGGAGCCGGTGCTTCAAGCCTGCCGTCTTCCTCACTCACACTGTCACAGCTCAGGTCTCAGAGCTCCGCCTTGGGCTGGCAAGTCCCCCTCCCGAGTGAACCCTCCTGACTGTGTGACATTTAAGGCGATCTTGTCAGAGCNATATATATATATATATATATATATATATATATACAGAGGGTGCCAAAAAATGTATACACATTTTAAGAAAGGAAAACTGTATTAAAATTGTAATACCCAGTATATACCGATAACAAAAGATGAATACAAGTCACGTTTGATGTCTGCAATGACAAGAGGTGCTCAGAGTGGTTCCCATCAGCGTCCAGACACTTCTGATGACAGTGAACTACTGGTTGAGCAACGTTGACCAAAGTGTCCACTTTACCATGTTTTTTGGCACCCTCCCCCAATATATTTTTGTCCTTAGGCGAAGAATAACTGTGTATTAACATTAATCTCATCAGTGCATATCTGTAACTGCCTGTCAGTGATAGATTCTGGAAAGCGGTGTTTGCGTTTCTTAGTCAGAACTCGTCTTTCTGCGGGCAGGGGAGGCCCCCGTTTCTTAAGGTTCTTCAACATCCTTCTCTCCAAACTCCCTCTGAGCTTTGGCTAAAACAAGGGCTGTGAGCTTCTGCTGGATTCAGAGATAGCGGTGCTGATATTTACCAATTTGATATTTACCCATTTGAATGCCATGCCACGCGTCCTGTGAGACGTATTAGCACGGCTCTTCATTTGAAACGAAAGCAAACATTTTCGCTTCTGTCGGGTAGCGTGTGTTCTGGTGTTAGGACTGTGGCCGCTGTTCTAAGTGTGGGAGGCGGCAGTGGAAGCCGCAGACCCCCAGCGCTATGGGCACACACCTGCCTCCCGACACACCTGCCTCCCGTGCTGGTTTCTGATGATCCTCTCATTCCACTTTGTGTCGCCATCTCGACTTCCAAGGTTTAGTTACTAGAATTGAGCTAGGACTTCTGATGAGACTTAATCAGGAGCTACAACCGGGACAGACAGTGTACTGTCCTTGAAAATAACCGGACGACTCTCACCCTGAAGTAACTTGGTGTCCCGTGATATTTACAATAACATCAAAGTGCAGGACCCAGCCCTGCAGATGCTGGGGGAAGAGCAACAGAGTTTAAACAACAATCAAAGAGTCACCTGTGCCAAGTGCGATTTTCCATCCCATTCTGAGCTTTTCCTCAAACGAGACCCTAAGGGGAGCACACATGCACCCCAGAACATCTGTGTAGCCCCCCTCCTGGGCCACCTCCTCCAAGGGGTCCTCCTTGATCCTCACAGTCAGACGTGACCCGTGCTGGTGCAGGTGCTCTGTCCACCCTGCCATTCCCTTGCACACGGCGAGAACAGTGGCGCCACACACGTGTTATTTTGCTGGTTGCGATCACACCATCAGGAACCATATTAGCAAGAACCCAAGGTTCCTGGAAGGACATCAGCTCAGTATGCGCCATTTTGTTCCCTCCAAGTCCTTCCTCATTTCATCCTCTTTTTGAGCCCCACCTAAACCCACCCACCCCCATCCTCAAACCCCTCTTCCAAAGTAGAAACAGGTAGACTCCAGGCCCCACTCCTGGTTGGCCATTTGTGTCCTACTCAAACCCTGTCCTCATTAGCCTGAGTGAGGCGCTCGTGACCCGGACGACCTCACGGGGGCACTGCTCCGCCCGACCCCTCCTTTGACGGAACGCCAAGTTCTTTTCTTAAGTGATTCTTGGGGTGACAAGAACGCACGTAATCATTCAATAACCTCTTCCCTCCTTGTGGCATTTGCATTTTCTTAAATCTTACTGCTCCAGGTTCTCCTAAATCTGTGACTCAGTAGAATATTCCATTTCTGTAAACCTAGCAGACGAAGCTCTCCCACATTTTTATAACCATGTAATTTGCTCTTGCAAAGCTTCTGGTGAAATACGTTTTAAATAAGCTTTCCTGAACCTAATGCATTTCTCTCCTTAAGTACGATGAACTTCCTTTTCACCCACCACACCCTGCCCTGGTCTTCAGGACCTGGAGGCCTCACTCCCCTGGCATCTCCCCAGCGTGTGTTATCCATTCCCGTCAAACCGTGTCCTCTTCGTATCTGAATACCCACCAGAAGACGCGGTGACAGCTCAGTGGTCAGTGCCACCCATTGAGTACCCGTGGGTCTGCAGAGGTGGGCTAACCCTGGGCTGTTTACCTGCCGTCTGTTTTGGAGTTACCACCTGCTGACATCAGAGCTTTAGAAAAGGCCCCCAAATCACGGAAGGGAACCGTCTCTCCTGGCTTCCATCATGAAATTTCTTTTTATTTTTGGCCAAAAAAAGCAGATTCTTGGCTCTTTTTGATTTGACTTTGCATGGCATTCTTCTTTTCCCGTGTCAGCCCGCTAATTAACATGCTGGATCCCCACTGTGGCTCTCTGACTTTTCGGAAAATCCATCCCCGCTGCATCGCACAAACCTGCTTTCATTTCTGTACTGCCTCCACCAAGTGCAAACGGAGCTGCTTGGCAGCCCTGGAGAAAAGCTACCTCTCCGAGGAGGCACATTCCCCTCTGTGCGTCAAGTGAGCAGGCGTGGCTTCCCCACGCGGCACCCCACTAATGACCCCAGGCCGCTCACTGTGCACCCCGCATGGCTCCCTCAACCTCCTCAGTGTAGTAACTCATTTCATCCTCACGCTGACCCAGTGAGGCCACCACGGCTCTTATCCCCGTTTCACAGATGGATGCAGGTGCCCTGGGTTTGAAGAATGGCCCCAGGCGACCCCACTGAGGAGCCGAGCTGCAATGACGCTCTAGACCAGCGGTTCTCAACCTGTGGGTCGCGACCCCTTTGGGGGTCGAACGACCCTTTCACAGGGGTCGCCTAAGACCATCAGAAAACAAAAAGATATNAAATAGCAACAACAGAAGCGCGCTTGGAAGCCAGAGGCAGGCGCACGGAAATGACACAGGCGGAGTGAGGACATCCGGGTGCAGCCCCCACACTGCCCAGCGCACGTGCCACCCAGGAGCAGGTGACTGTCACCCAGACGTCCTCTGGAAGGTGCCCTGAATTGTTTGGCACGCATCTCAAACTCTTTTCTAAGGCAACGGCCATTCAGATTCTAGATTTCATCGTCGCCCTGGCTGTACTTTTGTTTCCAGACATTTTTCTTTTAGATTGCCACCTGGAACGACCTAAGTTGGAGATGGAGTTTCCTTCTCTGCGTCCCCACCCACTCCACCAGCTCACCCAAAACACACACGTCGGAAGGCAGTTGCCCACGTGGGCGGCTGCAGAGGGAGGTGTGATCGTCAGCGTGCTTTCGGAGGACCTACCCTAATATGTTGGTTTTCTACTCTGGAAAAAAAAATAATGAATTGTCAAGAGGTATTGATGTGCGTGTCCGATACTTGCCCAAAACTGTCCCGGTTGCCAGTGGGCCTAAGTCTGTGTGGTTCCTTATCCCCCCAGATGAATGGTGGGCTGTCATATCTAAAGCACTCATTTGTGGATAAAGCACAGCTCTGCTTTGATTTATAGAAGCATCATGGAACTTAAAGAGATGGCAGGAGACCCTAGAGGCAAGCGAACCACAAAGCATCTTGTTACAGGATTGTCCCAGCTTTGCTCGTACACAATTTATGTGAAGCATCGGCGTGTGGGTCTTGAATACACCCGTGTGACGTGCTGACCTGTACTTCTGTTGGGGTGACAAGTGGCTGTAGTCATCTCTTCATTGCTGATGAACACGTCTCTCCTTGCGCTGGGGAGGGCGGTGGGGGCGTCACTCAGTGACCAGGACCAGACATTCTGGTCAGAGCTGCTGCTTCGCTTAGGAAGTGGCCGGGTGACTCTGAGCCTAGGTTTCTCGTTCATAAACTGGGAGTAAACTATTAGTTGTAGGGATGCTGTGAGGATGACATGGCGAAGACATAAAAAGCCCTTCAGTCAGTGCTGGGCACGTTGGAAATACTCAGTAAATGTGGGCGCTGCTCCATCACACTGGGCAAGAGGCATGACAACCCCAGAATAAGACTTGTCTCTTTCTTTTGAAAATGATGCCTTTTTTGACCTTGGGATGTGCAGAGGTGGCCCTCCAGAGCCTCCAGGTCAGTCTTCTTCCTTGGCCTGAGGGTGGGTCGCTGCCTGAGCCCGTGCTGACCTGAGCCTTGATTCCTGAAGAGGCATCTCCTTTTCCTGTTCCATCCTTTGGGTAATTGCACCTCTGAGATGCTCTGAGCACCCCTGGGTCACAGCCATGTGCTGCCCTTGCCCGCCAAGTGTGCCCGCACCCCAGGCTTCAAAGCTGTTCCCTTTCCTTCCCTCTAGTGCCAGCGGAGCTTCCGATGAGGTCATGCAGATTGACGTGGAAATCCAAGAGCCCAGCGACCCGCCTGCCACCCAGCTGGTCACGTGGCAGGTGGAGTACCCAGGAGGCGTCACATCGGACTTGGGCGTCTCCAAGATCTACGTGAGCCAGAAGGACCTGATCGGCGTCATACCACTGGCCATGGTGAGTGTCCCTGGGCTGTGCACACAGAACTCGGGGACAGGGCAGGCTCGCAGCGTGACCGAGACGTGGGGAGGTGTCAGTGAGCCAGGGGGCGGGGGCTGAACC